GACACCGCAATGCGTTATTTGTTGTGAAGTTCTATCAGCCGAATCTATGAAGCCGAACAAACTAAAATGCCATTTTGATAGCAAGAGTCAGAGCTTTGCCAGCAAGGATACCAACTATTTTAGAAGCAAAGCTGATGGACTCAAGAAAGCCAGATTTGACACTGGTGGCAAGTACCACAAACAAAATGTAGCAGCCGTTGAAGTTTCATATTTGGTGGCACTCAGAATCGCCAGAGCTATGAAACCTCACACCACTGCTGAGGATTTACTGTTGCCAGCGGCCAAAGACATTATTTTGAGTTATGATTGGAGAGACAAATTTGTTACAGAATTGAGTGCAATTTCCTTATCTAACGACACTGTCCACAGAAGAATAGATGACATGTCTCCTGATATTCTTGATCAGGTAATCCAGGAAACTAAATCTGCTCCACTTCCAATATTTAGTATCCAGCTTGATGAATCTACAGACGTTGCAAACTGTTCGGCTACTGGTTTACGTGAGGTATATTAATGATAGCGACTTTAAAGATGAGTTTCTTCTTTGCAAACCTCTTGAAACGACAACTACTGCACGTGATGTATTTAACAGTTGGTTCATTTCTGAAAGAGCCTAAGATCTCTTGGGAAAACGTTTGTGGTGTTTGCACAGATGGTGCTCCAGCTACGCTAGGATGTCGATCTGGATTTCAACGTTTGGTATGGAATGAGTCACCAAAAGTCATCATTATATGATTCATCGGCAAATATTAGCAATAAAGACGCTGCCACAAGAGTTACAAGAAGTAATGAAAAGTGTCATAAGTTGTGGCAATTTTGTAAAGGTGAGGACTTTAAACCGTCGACTGTTTTTGCAACTGTGCAACAAGTTGGATGTGCCGAACAATGCTCTGCCATTTCACACTGAAGTGAGATGGTTGAGAGGAAAAATTTTAAAACGTTTTTGAGCTTCGTGATGAACTCAAAACGTTTTTTAATCAGAAAGCAAGACCACAATTCGAAGCACTTTTCAGCAATAAAAGTAAACTGCAGAAAATAGCTTACTTGGTTGACATCTTTGCCATCTTGAATGTGTTAAATTTATCACTGCAAGGACCAAATGCAACATGCCTCAATTTGTCTGAAAAGATCTGATCATTCCAAATGAAACTTCAGCTTTGGCAAAAAAATTTGGATGAAAATA